TTTTTTAATATTCTCGCATCTCTTTTTCTAAGATATCGTATGAATACAAAAAACTTACCCTAGCTATGTGAATGGTGAAATTCGATAAAAGTTCTTGACAAAGTTTTGTTTTTTTCCGAAACACTTCAACACTTTTACGGTTTCAATACCAACTGCCGCAAAAAGCAGACTCAAATGACATTTTGTGACAAAATACAGACGCACACGACACCACAAAAATATTTTTTTATTAGCTTTAATTGCGAAATACCAATAAGAAGAAATAGAAATTAGCTGATCGAACACTTTGCAACACTTGCACACCAGGGATTTCCAGGGAAGCGTTTTTTTAACACTTTGATTATTTTATTAGCGCGCAGTTATGGCCAATTTAACACCTGAAATTATTCGGAAAAATACCGTTAGCGTAATTAATTAAAAAATGGCATGCACATCGCTTTGCAACAACTACATAAAAACGAAAAACAAAAACAACACACGCGCCATATTGCTACAGCCACATGCAGCATGCAGCAGAGACCAGACGTTGGAGAATTCGTGGTGGAAGCAAAGCACACACACCCACACACAACCACTTGCAATTTCGGCACGTAACAATGTGTGCACCTGTGTGCGCCATTTTTTGTTTTTGACTGCACTTAAAATTCACGATGACTGCTCACTTTTTGTTTGAACCGACGCATTTGTATGCACCCCGGACGCAAAGGACAAATTTTATAAAAAAAAAAAAATTGCTTACGCTTTCGTTCCATGTCACAGCGGAGACGACGTTTGACTAACCTTCAAGATGCGACGTTGCGACAAATTTGCCAAGCTTTAAATTTGTAGTTTGCGTAACGAGAAAAAAGCGTTTATGTAGGTGATGCCCTTAAGTGGCGTGTGCTGAGGCATTCACCCACTGCTGCTAAATACTCCAAGGAGCTCAAACGCTCGCAAAAGGACTGCACGGCTAAGCTGACTCGCTGGCCTGTCTGTCATTCACAATTGACGACTTGCTTTTCAATGTCCTCGCAACTTCAGAGTGTTGCTTTTTACGCTGCGCAATTTGCTTGACGGTCTATAATTAAAAAATCAACAATGGCAATGGCAGCGTAGTATGTAATTCTAGTATGTAAACATGTACATAAGTAGATGCTAATAAAATAAAGTATTTATGGCTTCCTCATGCAAATCCTCCCAACTTTTAGTGGCAAGGCGCGATAGTTGTTTCACACATATTAATCGGTCACATGCACAAACATACATAAGTATACATATACATACATATTAAAGTATGTATCCTTTTATTACATCCCAAAGCTCACCAAGTGTATATTTCCGTTACCAACTAGTTGGATGTCCGTACGCGTTGCCTAATTGCGTTAAACTATTTCTAGTTTGTGGATGAGTCTGCTGTTTGTGGACGCATCCAGACATTGTCACCGCCATTATCTATCATCGCGTGTTTGGCATTTGAAACGCTGATAAAGGCTTTAGTTGTTTTAATTGTATCTATTTTCCTTAATACATTTGCATATCTACACATACATATATACACGTATACCTTGCAGAAAAAAAATTATGAATTGATAAAAAATAGCCGACTTCTAGTTAGCTTTTTAAAGTGATTTCTATATTAATATATAAATTGTAGTTGGCTACAAAAGGCTAACTTGAAACTAATTGAAAACTACCGTAGTTCCTATTTAAATATCCTCATAAAAATTTTACTTTAAATACACTTTCGTTCTGCACTTCACAAATACTTTTTCGAATTGAGGACAAATAAAAGGAAGATCGAAATTTTATGTTATCATTTTGAAGTTATTTCTCACGGAGGTCGAATATGGGACCACCTACAGCAGAATATGTAAACAAATATAAAATGTAATAAATTAATGTAAACCAATAAAAAAGTAAAAAAAAGAAAAAATATTTTGCTTTTCTTATTGATATTTTATGTCCAAAAGTAGTTAGTTACAAGTTAGTTGATATCTAATGCGGTGGTAACTACCCTTGACTATTTCGCGGTCATCGCCATAGAATTACAGTTAGCTATCCTCAAAGAAAAATGCAGTTAATAGTGACTATTACTTCCTTCCTAACCAACTCCAAGTTAACTTATAGTTAGATATATTTCCCGCAGGGTATGTATGAATGTGAATAAATGGTACGATTTCATTAGTGAATATTTTTATGCACATTTCATTATTTTATCATAACCATTTCCTTCGTTACTTTTGTTTTTATGCATTAAAATTTCATATATCTATCTCGGCAGACAATTCGGAAACATATTTTCTATATCTGGAACTTATCTTGGACTACAAACTCCTGTGGAGGACTTATGTTTATGCGACCACCTCTAACGATACGTTCACACAGAAAGCGAAGCCGTTCCGAGCTGAGTGAAGCTTTCAAATTTCTGTAGCTATATGAAAGTGTTCATGCAGCAAGCTTTTTCAGAAGCGTTTTGTAACTGAAAACAATGTGAACACCAGCAGCTTCGCCTTGTTCCACCTTGCTTCGCTCGGCGCCGCTCGACTTTCTGTATGAGCGCATCATAAGGCTACGAGAGTGCTGATGGTGTATAAACGTCTACACCTTTTCCAACAGTATTTCAGAAAAGCGCAAATGTATTTCAGAAAAGGCCAAATGTATTTCAGAAAACCTCAAATGTATTTCAGAAAAACGCAAATGTATTTCAGAAAAGGTCAAATGTATTTCAGAAAACCTCAAATGTATTTCAGAAAAACGCAAATGTATTTCAGAAAAGGTCAAATGTATTTCAGAAAACCTCAAATGTATTTCAGAAAAACACAAATGTATTTCAGAAAAGGGCAAATGTATTTCAGAAAAGCACAAATGTATTTCAGAAAAGCATAGCTGTATTCTAAAAATATTTTTCTGAAATACATTTGCGTTTTTCTGAAATACATTTGAGGTTTTCTGAAATACATTTGGCCTTTTCTGAAATACAATTGCCCTTTTCTGAAATACATTTGTGTTTTTCTGAAATACTGTTGGAAAAGGTGTAGTAGGCAAATCCTGGGAATGTACTCCAAGGACTCCAAAATGGATGTACATACATCAAAATAGTACGACCAATAGTCGCCTAAGAGGCAATGGCTTGGGGTTCGACGACTACTTTGGTAACGGTGAGGCGGACCCTCATAAAGATTCAATGTGTGGCGTGTGTTTGCATTTCAAGGGATTTACTCACCTTTCTCATGTCAGCGCTGGAGGTAATTGTGGATCTTTAGCCACTGCAGCCTGCAGTTGAACAGGCTGCATCGCGAGCTCACCTAAATTTCTTGAGAGAGGGTTTTGGAAAAGGTAAGCAACAGGTAATACAAGCTAAGCTTCTAGCTCCCATTAGTTCTTTCCAGAGTTGAAATGCATATATTGGTAGGACTAGGAGTAACGTTTCCAGACAGACGAGCACACTGGAGCGGTACATAAACGGCTCTTAGAAAACTGAGGGGATGTGTTTTCTAAGCATCTGCAAAGCGGAAGTCTATGCCATCAGTGTCAATGTAGACATCAACTTTCGCAGTGCTTATTGAAGTGAGAGAATCCAAATTTTAAGTTAAAGTAAGGCTCTCTCATTCCTCGAGGTCCTTTTGCCCCCGGTTGCTGAGCTTACAGTTCTAATTGTAACTTGGCTGTTTCTGAAAATTAAAGCATCTATTTCATTGATATTGGCTCGGAGTTTATTAACAGGCAACTTTAGCATGGAAGACATTACACTAGTTCGTTAAACAAGATGTGCAACACACGGTAGGGGTTTGCGAGAAAAACCACCACATTACCGTTGAGCTTCGAACCATCAGTGAAAATTTTAATATTACCAGGTGCAATTGCTTTCCACCCATTGCGCCATGGTTTGATGCTCCGTAGAAAAATTTCTAACCAGAACCAGAGTTTGAGTATAGGACTGCGCCGATCAGAGAAGATTTTTGAGAATAATTTTTGTGTGACGTCACACTGGTGCAGTTGAGAGAGAAATGTCAAAACACGAGCAAGAAACCAAAAAGAAAGTTTGCAAGAAAAAACGTAAGCGAGTAGCATAAGTTTGACGTCATTCAAACAGCGATTCTGTCAACTTCACTGAGAGCTGAATAGCGGTACGAGATGGGCGCCACCTTTGATCTCTACATCGCACAGTGGTTCAAAACTGGAACAATTCAAGATTCAAGGACCCTTCCTTTTTCACTCAATATGATACATTTTTTTTAAATGAAAGCTAATAAGATTTGCATGTGAGCAGTTGAGCCCGATTTTTGAATTTTTGTTTGCTTGTGTTAATTTTTTTAGTGCAAAAAGTAGAAAAGTAGCGATTTTGAAGAAAATCGATTCTCCTGTTTTAGTTAATAAATGTTACGTAATATAACTAGTTGAAAACAATTTTAAGGTTTCAACAAAACGAAAAAAAAATTAAAAAAAATTTTAATGTTTTAAGAAATGTTCCCCAACATTATTTTTTTTTTTTTTTTATAGAAAAGTTATAAATATAGATCATTAAATTTTAGTGTAATAAAGTACCAGTTACCAGTGGCCAAGTGTTCGCGTTGATTTTTAATAATGCTCGAGATGTTAGCGAAAAAAATTATTAAAAATCAACGCGATCTCTTAGCCACTTGCAATTTGTGCTTTACTATACTAAAACTCAATGATCTAAAAAATTGCATACCCAAAACTTTTCAAAAAGCTCAATTTTTTTTTAATTTTGGTCAACATTTTTTTATAACATTTCAAGTGTTTCTTGTGAAATTTTTTCCCCCGTTTTGACACAATGGCTACAAAGTATTTTGAATTATTACGAGATTAACTATATAAACTAATCGTCACAATATCCACATAAAAATATTTTTATTTACATAATATTAAATCAACATCATAATCGAAAATAAAATTGCAAATAGTTTGTTCAAGCTCATTTTTTTTTTAAGATAGTACATTTAAAAAGAATGTATTAACAAAAGTTGTTATTTTAACAAATAAGAATAAATATTTTACTTTCAACGCAATCCCAAAAATTTGTAAGGTACATTGGAAAAGAATAGCACAATGGACAGAATAATAATAGCGCAGACGCCGACTATGATAAGTGCTTTGATAAGAACGGGAAGTAAAATTTTGTTAAATGCCTTAATTGGATTTGTTAATGGATTAAAAGAGGTATCAGGTCGTCTGTGAAAAGAAGTGAAAATGTAAAGTGAAATCAGCTTACAAAAGTAATAAATATAGAGATAAAGTAATACTACTACTTACGATGGATTGGCTAATGCATTCGGTGGATTGCGACCCACACCAACAGGACTCGCTGCCGCTTCCGCTTCGGTAAGTAACTCCAGTTCCACTTCGATTTTTCCCTGTAAAAAAAGAGTTAACCATCTAAAATTCAATTCTACAATTAATTAAATCATTTTTCAACTTAACAGTTTGCGTACGCAATTGCTCCTTGAGCCGTTTATCCTTAGACAGCTGCTCGACTTGTCCGTGCAGCGGAAACCAGCCTTTTACGCGCTTTTTCGCAAACAAATTCACCGGTGGACGACGCCGATGTGCCACGCCTTGTAATCGTGCCAGTGTTTCGGGTAGCTTAATGCCGGCAAACTCATTGGTCAACGTACAGAAACGCCGATTCGTGCAAGGCTCTGGAAAGTTTGATAGATTCAACTCGAGCATGCCCAGAAAATCATCTTTTGTGATCAAGTCATTATCCCAGACTTGAAGATATAATACGGCAGGATGCTTTACTTCGTATTCGTTAAGTACGCCACTTTTCACCTTGATGACCATCTGTTGGAGAGTGGTAAAAATAGGAAAAATAAGGTAATGAAAACGATATGGTGTGATTTTGTATTGCGTATATAAATAAATAAGTATATATTAAGATGCTTAAGGCAAAAATACAATACTTATTTCATATGTATGTTTTAATATTTCGAAAGATCTTTTAAAACAGTTTTTAGACGCCTACACTGTCCTACCATTCTCTGCCCTGAGCTTATACGCGATATTGGGGTGCCAGGATTCAAAGCTGAACGCATCTATCAGCCGGGCACACTTTCCGCATAAACTACATAGGGCTGTTTCCATAAAAATGTAAACCGAAAATGCAAGTAAATGAGTTAAAATGACTTTATAACCGTAAATTTCGTATTCAGAGGGCGAAAAAAGGATATGAAAACGCGAAACGGTAAAGAGAATAACTAAAAAAATTAAATATATANGGCGAAAAAAGGATATGAAAACGCGAAACGGTAAAGAGAATAACTAAAAATTTAAATATAATATTTAAATATATATGAGGCATTCTTTTTCATGTCGGACACCAAATTTGGTGACACACTTTCAATTGGCTTAAATTTGTTTTAGGGGTTCTATACACGAAATAAGCTAACACGTGTTCGAGGATTTTTTATTTTTTTATTTTTTTCTTCGGAGATATGATCTGTCAAACTTTGGATTTTTTCGTGATACTGACTAATCATGTACTTCCTCAAATCGTTATATCTCTGGTTCTGCTCATCGTAAAAACTTCATCTTAACGTCGTTTTAAAGCTAAAGAAACGGGCTTAACATTTTTTTATATAATATGGTCATATATTTGAGGATAACGCTAGATAAGAGACTTAATTGGAAGTCCCATCTTGAGAGAACGGTTGCTAAAGCTGCACGGTCCATGTGGGCCTGCAGAAGACTTTTTGGTAGGAAATGGGATTTGAGCTCAAGACTGATTGATTGGCATCCATAGCATGGTGGCAAATCGGCTCCCTTTACTTGATCTCAGATACGTACACTGCTGCACAGATGGTTCAAGCATGGCGGAGAGAGCAGGTGCAGGTATCTTTGGACCTAGCACCAAACGTGCAATTCTCATGGGCAAATGGCCCACGGTGTTTCAGGCTTAAATAGTCGCAATCTTAAACCGCGCAAAATTAAACCTTGAAAAGGGTTGAAAGGGCGCATTTTTAGTTATCTTTTCAGATAGCCAAGCAGCCAACCGGGCCTTTTCAAACAAGGCTATTAAATCCAAGTTGGTAAGAGACTGCTTTGACACGCTACAAATTTTGGCAGCCAAAAACACGCTAACACTGTACTGGGTAACCAGGCCATGGTACCAGGGAATCGAAGGCAACAAGATTGCCGACGAGTTGGCACGAGAAGGATCGCTAACTGCCTTTTCGCGACTTGAACCACTCTGTGGTCTTTGTTGGTTCTCTTCGAGAGCCATAATTATTGAGGGTACACTCACTGGGTNGAGAAGGATCGCTAACTGCCTTTTCGCGACTTGAACCACTCTGTGGTCTTAGTTGGTTCTCTTCGAGAGCCATAATTATTGAGGGTACACTCACTGGGGAGCGGTGTAAGCTCTTCGGCTACCCTTTCAACAGAACGACATTGTCCTAGCAAATAGAAATGAGATCAGACTACTTTCTGGGTATATGACCGATGAAACCACCTTGTTTTGTATATTCGTAACTTCTTTTTTCTACGACTCACCAAGATACAACCCTGATGAAAAATTAAAATAAATAAGATTGTACTTTGAGTATACATACGCAAAGTTAAGCGTATTTACTTAAAAAAAAACTAAAAGAAAAAAAATCCATTTTAACGTAAAATGCAGTTTTCTTTGAAGATTTCATCAGTTTGTTCACATCTCGAACGGTCTAGCGCGTATATTTCTAAAAGACTACAGGTAGTTACTATGTGCAAAATCATGCCATTAATTAATGCTAAACTCTTTTAAACAAAAATATCAAATAACAAAGAAAACAAGTTAATTCATTGCGCTCTAATTTTCACTACATTTCCCCCAAGTCATAATTCAGCGAAGTATTCGTATGTATGTATGCATGTGAACGTGTTTTCTTTTTGTTGAAATCAATACTCCGCATCATAATCTCACATTTTTGCGTAGAGCTCATTAAGCAAATGAGCATTCGCTTAAGAAAAAATTTTAAGATATAAACAACTAAAAAAATGATGCGAGTACATAAATATATTTATCAGCTTCTCACTCACCATATCTTCATTGGCAGAATACTTGAGGGGGAAGACCATGCGCCAATTAAATGCAGCTTCTCCATTGAACGAACGGTAATGGATATCTGTTGCTTGCGATTGGTCTTTGTCAGCACACCAGCTTCAGATATGCATGGATGTATTTTAGTTGTTTTTTTTTTTACCAAAATTGACCATAGCACTATGGTCCTAATGCCTGTTTTTCGGGCCAAAACTAAATTTTTACAAATCACTTTTTTCCTTGTTTCCATATTTTAGACATTAAAACATAGGAAAGGAAACTTTGTGTTTGTAAAACACACCAGTAAGCCACCAGCAAGAAAATTATTCTTATTTTTGTACAATTTAAAATTCGATTGAGCGTGAGACATATAGGGCAATTCTTTCACCTCAGCATCTGGCAACTATCTTGAAAGCTCTTTACTGTCTTTCGAACGACTAATTGAAAGATTTGCAAACGAGAGGGTCTTGGCGCATTTTAGCAATAAGATTTATTTGAATTGAGTTAAATAAAACAAGTAAGAAAGTCTAAGTTCGGGCGGAGCCGAACATTAAATACCCGGCGCAAGTATTAAATATATGTTTTTTCACCCTTCCGAAACCTTCCGCTGGATGGTAAGCCGAGGTGTATCAATTTTGAGTAAATTAGCGTCCTTCAATTTCGAAATATTGAAGTTTCAAGCATTTCTTAAATTTACCGTTATATGAGAATCGGCCGTTATTTTAGTCCGATTTCAATAATTTTCAACGTTTTGCTTACACGTGGCAAGTACAATAAC